CCTTAAAAACGAAGGGCATTCTGACATACTACAACATGGATGAAACTCAAGGACATTATACTAAGGGGAAAAGCCATTCACGAAAAGACCAAATACTGTATGAGTCTACTTATATGAGATTTCTAGAGTAGTCAAATTCATAGAAGCAGAAACTAGAAGGGTGGTTGACAGGGGCTGGGGAGAGGAAGGAAGGGTGAATGATTATTTAATGGGTACTGACTACCAGTTTTGCACAACAAAAAGAGTTCTGGGGACAGATGGTGGTGATGGTTGTACAACAATGTAAATAAACTGTATACTTAAAAATTAGTTGATGGTAAATTTTATGTTATATATGTCACCACCATTAAAAATAACATTTTAAAAATGTGAATTTGAATGTATCCAAACAGAGCTTACACTTTCCAACTCCCCAACAAAACTCAGATGTTTTGCAGCCAGTTTCACACTTTACCTTAAAAATCAGTTTCACACATTTGCCTTACATGCCTGGCCCCGTATGCATTCAAATTTGTGACACTTAGGACATACATTTAACCTTTTCGACCCTCAGATTTTCTCCTAGGAATAATAATCTCTAGCTACCTCCCATAATTGACGGAGAGGTAGGTGAGCTATGCATAGAAGCCTTTATAAACGGAAACAGTCACTCCCTGGGAGAGATCGAAGCGTGTTTCAGTGTATGGGTTAGTATCATCTTCACATACACTTAAAACCTGAGACAGGGAAAGGGTGACAGAATCAGTGTAAGACAATTAAAATTAAATGATCCTATGGGTTTTTTTTTTTTCCTTAAAATATCATCAGTTATGGGGGGCCGGGGGAGTTGAAGTTTAGTAAATAACTTTGAGACGTGTCACATTCGATATAGAAAACTTGGCTCTCTGACATTGTTCCTTTTCTAAAGGTGGTCTCAACAGTGTCTTTCCCTCAGAGTTAGATTTGCCACCCTGATTCGATCATGTAATTTAACAAACATCCGTTCAGCAGCAATGAAGGGAGAACTGTGAGGAGAACATAGATCAAACAGAGGAGGTTTCTGTCGTTCAGGAAGTCACCCACAGCCTGAGCACAGGGATTGTTTCTTTAGGTGATTATTTACTTAGTACCTTCTCCCACGGCAGGTACTATTTTCATCCCCTCTCCTACTTTGTTTATAAAAGTCCCTAAAAAAGAAGCTGGTTTTTCTAAAGGTCCTTCTTCCTCCTTCCCCACGCCCCCAACCCCAATCTGTCCCTCTGTTCCTGAATTCCTTCCTTCCTTCTTGCCTTCTAACCATTACTCACTGAGCATTTACTATGAGCCAGATGACATTTAGATATGGAGGGTACTATGGCTAATAAGATAAAAGTCCTTGACCTTGTGTCACTAACATTCTGGTAGAGCACTTTTCCTTCCTAGCCAAAACTCTATGTGCTTTAACTATAGTACTCTGAAAAAGTTGTCTTTAAATAATATCTTTGAAGAAGCTAGATTCTATAAATCTATCAATACACTGGAGCATTGCTTGAATCTGACCTATGAAGCGAGTAGCGAAAATATTTTTATATTATGTATAATACCTTAAGTATATTATAGTGTGCCTTGCCTGTGCACATCGCCAAGCATCGCGAGCTGTATGTGATACAGAGAGGAGAAAATCATCCTCATGTGATAGATATGGAAAACAAGTTTAAAAAAAAATCAAGTGACGAATCTCTGTAGGATTGTCGACTCAAGGACACTTGTCAAGCAGTATCCCACAGGAATCGTCTTACTTAACTTTTTTTGTCAACAGCTTGGTTAAGTGGATTTTATAAATGATTCAAAATATGTCTGAGTGGCTGGAATTAGAAACAAAAATGGCTTTTAAAACAACCTTGACAGCTTTTCCTGCT